TTATGTAGATTTTTTGTGTTTAATTTTTATGATGGAAAACAAAATACAAGCTCAACCACTAAATTGTAGTATTTTAATTTTAATGTTTTCAATTTTTTTGTTTTTATTTAAACGCGAGTGGGCAGAGAGTTGCTTCCTTTTGGGCCAGGTAAGTTAAGTTAGTTGGCAAACAATACCTTTATATTCCTTTAAGGAAATTTACATATAAATGAGCTCACATTGGTGTTATTGTCCTGTGTCTGTCTGTCTGTCTGTCCGTCCTTCTATCCTGTCTGTCCTTCCTTCTTTCTTCTTTTTTTTTGGCAATTTTATATGAATTTATATTCATACAAAAAATGTTGCCTACTTTTTTGCTAATGTTTTGTTAGCATTATTTGTAGCTTTATTAAATTTCTGCCATCTTTTTTTATTATTTTATATTTGTGGTTTTAAGTTACAACTGCTTATTATTCCCTTTACCTTTAACTCATAGAGTCGTCCTTTACCTTTTTCCTTTTCTTTGAAACCTAAAACCACTTGGGCAAAATTGTTTATATTTTTGTACTTTATTGTTTTCATTTATTTGAAAATCAAAAAAATTAAAACAAAAAAAATTACTTAAAATGAAAAATCTAAAGGTCATTTTGGAACAAGGGTCAGTGCACAAATGATGTTGTTTCGTATACCTCTCATATATTTATTTGATGTAAAATTTTTGATTTTTTTTTTTTTGCTGTGTTTTTAGAGTTTTATATTTATGATGTCAGCTGTTATTATTTGTTATTCTTGTATATAATTTGTTTGTGAGTAGAATGTGAATATATTCTAGGGATATTTTTTTTTTATTTGTTTGTTTTTAATGTTACAAATTATTTATAACAACAAGAATATTGTATAATTTATAACCTTGAGTTGTAATGTTCTTTAGGCCCATATTAGTATGATAAAAAAAATACATTAAAACAGAAAAGGCCAGAGTAAAAGATTTACAAAAAAAAATATTCTTAAGAATTCATTGAAATTATAATGAAATTACTTATAACTTTTTGAAGAAGGTAACTAAATAGTTATAATATTTTAACTTATTCACACTCAATTTTTGTAAGAGTTTAAAGGTTAAGAAGATTAAAGAACATAAAAGAGCAAAACCTCCTCCTCCTCCCCATTAATGCTAGAAATTGAATAAAAATTAAAAAGAAACAAAACCTAAACATTTTCTATAGAAAATTTTTCATGTCAAGCTTTTGAACTAAACATTTTCTATATAAATGTTTTCGTGTCAAGCTATTGATCTAACATTTTCTTTAGAAAAGTTTTCATGTCAAGACATTGACATACACATTTTCTATAGAAAATTTTTCATGTCGAGCTATTGACCTAAACATTTTCTGTAGAAAATTTTTCATGTCAAGCTATTGACCTAAACATTTTCTATAGTAAACCTATTATTTCAAGACATTGGTCTAAACTTTTTCTATAGAAATTTTTTCATGTCTAGCTATGGACCTAAACATTTTCTATAGAACATTTTTCATGTTATGCTATTAACCTAAACGTTTCCTATAGACAATTTTTCATATCAAGACATTGACTTAAGCATTTGCTATGGAAAATTTGTCATGTCAAGACATTGACATGAAATTTGTTTCTACAAAAACTATTATAAATTGTTAAAGGCCAAGTAAGAGTTAATTTATTTGGGAATTTTTATGTTTCCCTTTACGTAGACTGATTCTGTCTGCTTTTTTTTTGGCCCAAAATGTCAGTTTATTTTTCAGACAATTTGAACTTTAAATGATATTTGTTGTATGTTATTTACATACACTTAATATTTGTTATTGTTTACTTGTTGTTTTTTTCCAAAATATTTTTTTCATATCAAGCAATGTGTTGTTGTTGTTATATTTACTCGTCGTACTCAGGGCAAGAAGTTATAATTTTTGTTTCATAAAAATTCCTGTAGTGTAAATAATTTGCATAATTTTCAGCTGCTGTATTAAATACTCCCAAAAAAAAAAACAAAATATATTTTCATATACATGCATATGTATGTGTGTGTATATGTTATGGATATGGAAAAATAATGAAAACCATATATGTATGTGTATGTAACAGAATATCCTTTTGCTCGTATGCAAACTTTAACACAAGCTTAACCTCTAGCCATATTTTCATCACAAGAGTAGAGGTACAACCAAACTATACTTTACATATACTGTAACAATATACATGAAGTGTAGGTTTATCCTTTGCTTTTTTTCTAGAGGTTGAGAAGGGGAAACACAAATGTAAATTGTTGTTAACTACTCTTTACTCCACCTCACCACCTACCTGACTTTCAATCTGTGTGTGTGTGTGTGTGTGTGCTACCCAACAAAATGATGTGTTTTTCGTAGTAAAAACAATTTTTAAAGAAAAAATAAGAATTTTTTTTCAAATATTTTTTGCTGTTGTTGCTGTAGAGGAAAATTAACATTTTTTTGGGAAGATTTTGAAAATTCGCATACATGTGAGCCGGTTGGTGTTTAACATTATAAAAACAGCATTTATACTGTATAAGCGGGCCTTGGTTAAACTCAGCAATTTTTTTGTTTTGTTGTTCATACGTTCTTCATTTTCCATTTCAATTTTTGTTGCTTGCTATATCTGTTTATTATTGTTGCTGGCATTTTGTGTTGTTGCGAGTTATTTTTTGGGAATTTTTTTGGGGATTGTGTGCATGTGGTAAAGTGTAGTTTATTTAGCGGCAGAAAATTAACTTCAACCCTCATCATTATCGTCGTCTCCACCACCATCATTATTACATTGACGACGAGCATACTCTACATCAGCAACAACAACAGCAACAAAATAAATTGCATACAATAACAACAACACTAGCAATATCATCATAAGGCATCACCATTATCGGGGGCAACAGTGCATATGTTTAAAAATAAGTTACAAAAACCTACAATAAGGCTAAAATGTGCAGGCGCTTTAAATACCTTTAAAAAAATAAAAACTGTTTATAAAGTTCATTTCCGAAAAGTTTTAAAATCTATGTGGAGAACACATAAGTGGGTGTCAGTGAATTTTCCAACAGCCACAACAGCGTAAAATTTTTTTCATGAAGTCTAAAGAATTTTGTTGATGAAGTAACAAGAATTTTTGAAATAATTTTTTAATGAAAACACTAAAATTTACACTAAATTAAAAAATCTTAAAGAGGACAATTCTCCATAAAGAAATTTTCTTATAAAGTTTAGTCACGAAAAATTTTCTATAGAAAAGTGTAGGGCAATAGCTTGATATGAAAAGTTTACTACAGAAAATATTTAGTTTAATGTCATGATATGAAAAAATTTCTATAGAAAATGTTTAGGTCAATGTCTTGACATAAAAAATTCTCTATAGAAAATGTTGACATGAAAAATTCTCTATAGAAAATGTTTAGGTCAATTTCTATAGGAAATGTTTAGGTCAATATGTTGACATGAAAAATTTTCTATAGGAAATGTTTAGGTCAATATGTTGACATGAAAAATTTTCTATAGGAAATGTTTAGGTCAATGTCTTGACATAAAAAAATTTTCTATAGAAAATGTTTTGGTCAATGTCTTGACATAAAAAAATTTTCTATAGAAAATGTTTTGGTCAATGTCTTGACATGAAACATTTTCTATAGAATAGACTTAGTTCAGTAGCTTGACATGAACAATTTTCTATAGAAAATGTTTTCGTCAATGGCTTGACATGAACAATTTTCTATAGAAAATGTTTTCGTCAATGGCTTGACATGAAAAATTTTCTATAGAAAATGTTTTCGTCAATGTCTTGACATGAAAAATTTTCTATAGAAAATGTTTTCGTCAATGTCTTGACATGAAAAATTTTCTATAGAAAATGTTTTCGTCAATGTCTTGACATGAAAAATTTTCTATAGAAAATGTTTTCGTCAATGTCTTGACATGAAAAATTTTCTATAGAAAATGTTTTCGTCAATGTCTTGACATGAAAAATTTTCTATAGAAAATGTTTTCGTCAATGTCTTGACATGAAAAATTTTCTATAGAAAATGTTTTCGTCAATGTCTTGACATGAAAAATTTTCTATAGAAAATGTTTTCGTCAATGTCTTGACATGAAAAATTTTCTATAGAAAATGTTTTCGTCAATGTCTTGACATGAAAAATTTTCTATAGAAAATGTTTTCGTCAATGTCTTGACATGAACAATTTTCTATAGAAAATGTTTAGGTCAATGTCTTGACATGAAAAATTTTCTATAGAAAATGTTTTCGTCAATGTCTTGACATGAACAATTTTCTATAGAAAATGTTTAGGTCAATGTCTTGACATGAAAAATTTTCTATAGAAAATGTTTAGGTCAATGTCTTGACATGAAAAATTTTCTATAGAAAATGTTTAGGTCAATGTCTTGACATGAAAAATTTTCTATAGAAAATGTTTAGGTCAATGTCTTGACATGAAAAATTTTCTATAGAAAATGTTTAGGTCAATGTCTTGACATGAAAAATTTTCTATAGAAAATGTTTAGGTCAATGTCTTGACATGAAAAATTTTCTATAGAAAATGTTTAGGTCAATGTCTTGACATGAAAAATTTTCTATAGAAAATGTTTAGGTCAATGTCTTGACATGAAAAATTTTCTATAGAAAATGTTTAGGTCAATGTCTTGACATGAAAAATGTTCTATAGAAAATGTGTGGGTCAATGTCTTGACATGAAAAATTTTCTATAGAAAATGTTTTCGTCAATGTCTTGACATGCAAAATTTTCTATAGAAAATGTTTAGATCAATGTCTTAACATGAAACATTTTCTATAGAAAATGTTTAGGTCAATAGCTTTACATGAAAAATTGTTATGGAAACTGTAAAGGTCAACGTCTTGTTATAAATAATTGTGTATAGAAATTGTTTTGGTCATTGTCTTGACATGAAAATTTTTCTATAGAAAATTTCTATAAGTAAAATTTAAAAATAAATTTTAAATAATTTTCATAAAAATATATTACTTACGTAGTTCATTAATTGTTTATCACAAACACTTACCTAAAATGAAAAGAAATAAAAAGTAATTATTAAATTTTGTATTTAAACGAAATTATTTATAAATTCAAGAGCCTGTCCTTATTTTTTTACAATATTTTTTTCACATAAATATTCTAAAGTAATCTAATAAATATTGATTTTTTATGTACTTAATAAAATGACAAGAATTTATATACATAAGTGTTGGAGGATTGAAAAAAAAGGTAAAACGTCACCATTACAATCATCATCTACAACTACAACGTCGTCATCGTCATCATCATTATCATCAAAATTACAACGTGAGTAACCTGATAATAAAAACATGAGTTAGATGTATATGTTAAGCGACAGTGGCACAAAAGTAAGAATATGTTAAAAAGGAAATGTGAAAATAATATTCTTTGATTATAAAGGGACCAGTAGCTTTGTTGGGTTTTATTAAGTCTGTAGATTCACTGTTATGGAAACCAGCGCATTTTCCTCTTAGTAGAGGGACCAACTTATAGTTACTTGAGTTTTCAGCTAGTACTAGTAATACTGTTACTAGCACTATCTTTTTGAATTTCTTTATACTTGATGTATCTGTTTGTTGAAGTGTCCGTCCTTCTGTCTGTCTACAAGTATGCCAATATATATATATGTTTTGTTGGAGTGGGCCAAGTAATTTGATATACTGTCATGACTAGAAAACATGAACTTTAACGAAGACCACACCAACATGCTGAAAACTATACACATACATTAAAAAACCTAAAACAAAACCAAAAAGATACGAAAAAAAAAAATAAAAACCAAACCAAGAAACTTTTTTCTATAGAAAAAAAAAGAAAACTGAAAAGAAATACTACACAACCCCCAAAAGGGATGAAATCATGCGCTCATTCAATCATTCAAATGTCCTTTGAACTATAAAAATACATGACACTAATAAAAACCAAAAAAAAAAAAAAGAAAGTTTAACAAAAAAAAAAATTATAAGATACGTTACCAATACTTAAGCAATAAGTTATTGAGCTCAAACATACATTCAAATACATTTGATAGAACAACCAAAGCAAAGTTTTCTCTATAAAAATTGTTTTTTATTATTGACGTAGTAGCAGTTGTTGTTGTTAAAAAAAAGCTATCTTGTTGATATTTACGATAATTTTACTCAGTTCTTTTTGGCCAGACATGTTGGACTCTTAATGTCCATTAACCTGTTTATTTATATATATTTTTTTTACATTCTATGTCCTTTTTTTAACTGCTATTATTATACTACGTAGTTGCTGGAAAACAGCAACAACAAAAAACTCATCATTATTTTTATTGAGTTTTTATGTAAAATAAACCACACGCAGTTTTTTCAGTTCCCAACTTTTTGAACAAGATATATAGTCCTCCCCCCCAAAAAAAAAGAGTAAAAAAAGGAAATAAATTTATTAAGTTTTATATGTAAAACAGAGTGGGTGTTTTAATGTTGATAGTAGGTCAATACTAAAATGCTATGACTAAAATCAATTTGAATAAATTGTTTTTTGAAACAGGTTTTGGAATTGGGGGGTAAGTACTAGTTGGAGAATTTTCGAAACAAAAACAAATGAATTTTTAATGAATAATTATCGAATTGTCTGCTTTAGGGTAAGAAATCAAAGAAAATTAAAACAAAAAACATTTAAAAGGGACAAATAAAGCATAATAACTAAACTTTACTAAATAAATTAAAAGAAGCCTTAAAGTAGGCAACACATTTTTGAATATAATAAACAAATACGTTTGTTTATTCATTTATGAGAAGTGTTTAAACAAATCGAAGTAGACAATCACTAACTAACTAACTAACTAACTACTAACTAACTAACTAACTAACTAACTAACTAACTAACTAACTAACTAACTAACTAACTAACTAACTAACTAACTAACTACTAACTAACTAACTAACTAACTAACTAACTAACTAACTAACTAACTAACTAACTACTAACTAACTAACTAACTAACTAACTAACTAACTAACTAACTAACTAACTAACTAACTAACTAACTAACTACTAACTAACTAACTACTAACTAACTAACTAACTAACTAACTAACTAACTAACTAACTACTAACTAACTAACTAACTAACTAACTAACTAACTAACTAACTAACTAACTAACTAACTAACTAACTAACTAACTACTAACTAACTAACTAACTAACTAACTAACTAACTAACTAACTAACTAACTAACTAACTAACTAACTAACTAACTAACTAACTAACTAACTAACTAACTAACTAACTAACTAACTAACTAACTAACTAACTAACTAACTAACTAACTAACTAACTAACTAACTAACTAACTAACTAACTAACTAACTAACTAACTAACTAACTAACTAACTAACTAACTAACTAACTAACTACTAACTAACTAACTAACTAACTAACTAACTAACTAACTAACTAACTAACTAACTAACTAACTAACTAACTAACTAACTAACTAACTAACTAACTAACTAACTAACTAACTAACTAACTAACTAACTAACTAACTAACTAACTAACTAACTAACTAACTAACTAACTAACTAACTAACTAACTAACTAACTAACTAACTAACTAACTAACTAACTAACTAACTAACTAACTAACTAACTAACTAACTAACTAACTAACTAACTAACTAACTAACTAACTAACTAACTAGACTACTAGTCTAGTCTATAGTCTAGTCTATAGTCTAGTCTATAGTCTAGTCTATAGTCTAGTCTATAGTCTAGTCTATAGTCTAGTCTATAGTCTAGTCTATAGTCTAGTCTATAGTCTAGTCTATAGTCTAGTCTATAGTCTAGTCTATAGTCTAGTCTATAGTCTAGTCTATAGTCTAGTCTATAGTCTAGTCTATAGTCTAGTCTATAGTCTAGTCTATAGTCTAGTCTATAGTCTAGTCTATAGCCTAGTCTATAGTCTAGTCTATAGTCTAGTCTATAGTCTAGTCTGTAGTCTAGTCTATAGTCTAGTCTGTAGTCTAGTCTATAGTCTAGTCTATAGTCTAGTCTATAGTCTAGTCTATAGTCTAGTCTATAGTCTAGTCTATAGTCTAGTCTATAGTCTAGTCTATAGTCTAGTCTATAGTCTAGTCTATAGTCTAGTCTATAGTCTAGTCTATAGTCTAGTCTATAGTCTAGTCTATAGTCTAGTCTATTGTCTAGTCTATAGTCTGGTCTATAGCCTAGTCTATAACCTAGTCTATAGTCTAGTCTATAGTCTAGTCTATAGTCTAGTCTATAGTCTAGTCTACAGTCTAGTCTATAGTCTAGTCTATAGTCTAGTCTATAGTCTAGTCTGTTGTCTAGTATATAGTCTTCAGCGATACTAATCAAACCAGATCTCAATAATTGAGCGGCTTTGTCTTGCCTCAACTAAAAAATTATTGAGGTTTGTTGTCTATTACACTTGTAGAGCCTTTAGCTAATCGAAACAGAAGTCTCAATCCAAAAGCTTAATCTCATTTTAACAAAGATTAAAAGTAAATTTCCTTTATAGCAAATTATCGACTAATTTGACAGTTTTGTTTGTCGCATGTAAGCATCAAGAGTGGCTAGTCCTTGCTAAGCTTAAATAAAGCTACTTCTAGGTTTTTAGAAAAACCAAATTCAGTTCTTCGAACTTTTTAAAATCTCCACAAATTGTAATTATTAGTTATACTTTAGTCCTCTCCGAATTTCTAAACGGCTGTGTTTAATTTCCTAAAATTCTTTAATTTAAATTAATATTTGTCATAGTTTTTTTCCATATTCTGTTTTTGTTTTTTCTTACACATTTCTTTACTTTGTATTTAATTGTTTTTAATTACACATTTCCATAGCATACTTTTCCTGAGGTTTTTGTGGTTTATAACAAAATTTTCAAATTGTTTTGTGGTTGACGCAACTGAACATTTAAAAAAAAATCACAAGAAATTTCTCACAAACTTTGTATATTGTGTTGATTTTTGGTTTTGCATATAAATTTTAATGATTTTTCAATAAATATTTGTAGGTGAGGTTAGATAAAAAAAGCCAGGGTTTCAAATGGTTTTTTAAAGAAAATGGGGAAAGGATGGAAATTAATAATTTGTGCAGCCTAAAGCTATGCAATGTAATAACGTTTTCTGTTTTTTGGCCTTAAATTATGCTTTAATTTTCTATTTAACTTTAATATTTTCAACATACAACTTTTAGCTTAAAAAAAAACACTCACTTAATAGTACAACATTTCACACTTCCCATATTATAATTACAAATTGTTGTTAAGGGTTTTTGGCAAACTTTTAAGTTCTTTTCTATACTTTTCATACCGCATCCCTCTTAGTCTCACTCTTTCCGAACACTCTCCTGTCGAACAATACAAAAAACTTTAACTTATTTTCTAGCAATGCTTTTAATACAGAGTTACAAACACAAAATCGAATGAAGAAAAAAAAGCATGAAAAAATTACGTGCACTTTTTACTCAGCACTGGCTTTGCACTTTATCATTGTTTTCTAACGCATGGCTGACTGCATTTTCAATTGTATTCCTTTTAAAATTTACACAATTTTGCCACTTGCCGTAGTAGACGTTAGTTGATGCAACAACAACAACAATAACAGCAATGCACATAACAAGCAGGAAGAACAACAACAACAACTGCTACAAAACAATACAAAACAGAAAAAAAAATAAACTGAAAACTTTTTCATTAATAACGATTTTCCATTAAGTATCGATTGATTTTGTTAGCACACTATAAACTCACTTAGAAGTATGCAACACTTTTAACAATACAATACTGTAACCAACAGCAGCAACAACAACAAAAACAACAGCCACTTCTCATAAGAGAGTGTTTCATCATTGAAGGGTGTTTATAGCAGCAACAACAACAACAAAGAAGTAAAAACTGAAATTGTTAGGCAAACAAAAATAACAACAGCTAACAGTTATCGACAACCATTTAACTCCTCATAACTGTTATATATAAAAAAAAGTTTTCAATATACAACAACTACAAAAA